CAGCAGGGGGGCCTTCAGGCGCTGCAGGATTTGATCCATTATGGTGTAGTGTGTAATCAATAGTTTTCTTGGTGACTGTGGTCCCAGCTGCCTTGAGATCATTAACAAGTTCCTCCCGTGTAGTTCTTGGCTGATATCTCACCTTTCTCATGATCATCAATACCCCACGGGGCCAGATATTGTGTGGAGCTCCAGACCGAGGGCGACTGATGCTCATTTTGTCTTTCTTCTATTTCCGAATAATCACAGCAACAGTTGTCTCCTTCTCACCAAGCTGCTTTCTGATGGTCTTGTAGCCAATCCCAGCCTTGTGCAGGTCTACACTCTTGTCCCTGAGGTCCTTAGACAGCTCTTTAGTCTTGAGGTTGGAATCTGATTGATTGATTCTGTGGACAGGTGTCTTTTATACAGGTAACAAGTTGATATCAGGAGTACTTTCTTAAAGGAAAATGACTTAGGTAACCGGTCTGTGGGAGCCAGAGTTCTTGCTGGTTGCAAGGGGGATCAAATACTTATTTCTTCCACTACATGTATATTCACATGAAGTGACAAACAAATCAGAGACAGAATACTCAAAGCATTTCATCAGATCAAACACTTCTTCTCTCTATTCAACATAGGCTCATGATTAAAACTGAACCCTTCTTTTATCAGACTGATCAGGCAATAAGCCCTTTCAAGTGTTTGCTGACTCCACATATATCCTGCAACTGAAAAAGTCTTTAAGAGGCCCTATTATGCTATTTGGGGTTTTCACTTTCCTGTAGAGTTTGATATAGGTTTGTGTGCATGTAAATGGTCTGCAAAGGCTAAAATCCCTGTGTTCCCTCCAGAGAGTTTCTCTCCCACACACTCTGCATGAAACACCTCCATTGGACTCCTTTGTTAACTACCATAACATAATGACATCACGATGTAACACTCGCGCTTCTATTGGCTTGCGCTCCGACACTTTAGATTTGATAGACTAAGGGGCATCAGAGCCGACCAGCTGACCAATCAGAGCAGACTGGGCTCTGGTTTCAGACAGAGGGTGAAAAGAGGTGCTGCAGCACAGGCAGTATGAGAAAAATAAAGAGCTTTTTGAACATTAAAGCATGGAGACATGTCACAGTAGAGGAGAACAATACAAATATGATCTCTGGAAGTTATTAGAATAGGACCCCTTAAAGACTGATAGCTGATTGTAACTGAACATGGTGGTGCTGCCATCTAGTGATGCTTCTTTGCCACTGAAACAAATACTTTCAGAGAAAAAGTAATTCTGAGTTTCAATGTAAATCATTGGGTTATGTTTAACATAAAGCAGATATGTAAACCTTTTGATACGTTTATAGGAAACTTTACATTGTTGTTGCTGTCTCTAGATGGTTTTTGTGTTTGTATATGCAGCTTAAGATACTGGTTTGATTCACACCATACTCTAATAGACCTTTAAATAAAAAAATGTGTTAATTCATTTTTGTGTCAAAGTCTTTTACCGCCTTTACCTCTGACAGGCCAGACTGTTTCTTTCACAGCAAACAACGACAGAAGGCGTGCTGTGGTCCGCAGAATCATTTCCCATATGTTAAAGGGAAGAATAGGGAAAGTGCAGCAGGTATATTCACAACCACCTGTCACCAGATGGGCTTATTGAGCGCTCTAGGGGTATACACCTTTATAGCTTCAAATACAAACATTTCCCCCAGAGCATTAATGCAATACTGTGCAAACAAAACCAAATACATGCATTGTTGTACTCAGGAGGGGACATTGACAGAGGATTACTGGAAAAGTACACTATGAAAAAGTTTGGCTTTAGGGAATCTTTTTGTACCTGATTCTATCTGCAAATCTTTGGAAATCCAGAAATTGACATTATTATTCAGATGTTCATTGTCAAATTTCAGACGGGCCTTTCATGAGGCTTCTCCAGCAGGGGGGCCTTCAGGCGCTGCAGGATTTGATCCATTATGGTGTAGTGTGTAACCAATAGTTTTCTTGGTGACTGTGGTCCCAGCTGCCTTGAGATCATTAACAAGTTCCTCCCGTGTAGTTCTTGGCTGATATCTCACCTTTCTCATGATCATCAATACCCCACGGGGCCAGATATTGTGTGGAGCCCCAGACCGAGGGCGATTGATGCTCATTTTGTGTTTCTTCTATTTCCGAATAATCACAGCAACAGTTGTCTCCTTCTCACCAAGCTGCTTTCTGATGGTCTTGTCACCAATCCCAGCCTTGTGCAGGTCTACAATCTTGTCCCTGAGGTCCTTAGACAGCTCTTTAGTCTTGAGGTTGGAACCTGATTGATTGATTCTGTGGACAGGTGTCTTTTATACAGGTAACAAGTTGATATTATGAGTACTTTCTTAAAGGAAGAGGACTTATGTAACCGGTCTGTCGGAGCCAGAGTTCGTGTTGGTTGCAAGGGGTATCAAATACTTATTTCACACAATGAAATGCAAATAAATGTCTATCTTTTATATGATGTACATTTCTGGATATTCTTTTTGATATTCTGTCTCTCATCAGTAAAATAAATCTACCATTGAAATTATAGACTGTTCATGTCTTTGTAAGTGGGTACACTTGCAAAATCAGCAAGGGATCAAATACTTATTTCTTCCACTACATGTATATTCACATGAAGTGACAAACAAATCAGAGACAGATTACTCAAAGCATTTCATCAGATCAAACACTTCTTCTCTATATTCAACATGAGCTCATGATTAAAACTGAACCCTTCTTTTATCAGACTGATCAGGCAATAAGCCCTTTCAAGTGTTTGCTGACTTCACATATATCCTGCAACTGAAAAAGCCTTTAAAGGTCTATTAGAGTATGGTGTGAATCAAGTATCTTAAGGTGCATTACATGTCACTTGTTAGACGCTTTTATCCAAAGCGACTTACATACATTCAGTACTGTGGGCAATCTCCACAGGAGCAATTTGGGGTGAAGTGTCTTGCCCAGGGACACAACGACATGCTGACTGCAGTGGGACTCGAACTTGCTATCCCCTGATTCAAAGATCAGTGCACTAATCCACTGAGCCTCAGCCTCACACAAACACAAAAACCATCTAGAGACAGCAACAACAATGTCAAGTTTTCTATAAACTTATCAACAAGTTTACACATCTGCTTTATGTTAAACATAACCCAATGATTGACATTCAAACTCAGAATTACTTTTTCTCTGAAAGTATTTGTTTCAGTGGCAAAGAAGCATCACTAGATGGCAGCACCACCATGTTCAGTTTGACATGTCTCCATGCTTTAATGTTCAAAAATGTATTTTTCTCATACTGCCTGTGCTGCAGCACCTCTTTTCACCCTCTGTCTGAAACCAGAGCCCAGTCTGCTCTGATTGGTTAGCTGGCCGGCTCTGATGCCCCTTAGTCTATCAAATCTAATGTGTCGGAGCGCAAGCCAATAGAAGCGCGAGTGTTACATCGTGATGTCATTATGTTATTAACAAAGGAGTCAAATGGAGGTATTTCATGCAGAGTGTGTGGGAGAGAAACTCCGTCTGGAGGGAACACACGGATTTTAGCCTTTGCAGACCATTTACATGCACAAAAACCTATATAACACACTAAACGAAAGCGAAAACCCCAAATAGCATAATAGGGCCTCTTAAATAAAAAAATGTGTTAATTAATTTTTGTGTCAGTCTTTTAACACATTTCCCTCTGACAGGCCAGACTGTTTCTTTCACAGCAAACAACGACAGAAGGCGTGCTGTGGTCCGCAGAATCATTTCCCATATTTTAAAGGGAAGAATAGGAAAAGTGCAGCAGGTTCACAACCACCTGTCATCAGATGGGCTTATTGAGCACTATAGGGGTATACACCTTTATAGCTTATAATTAAAATATTTCCCCTAGTGCATTAATGCAATACTGTGCAAACAAAACCAAATACATGCATTCTTGTACTCAGGAGGGGACATTGACAGAGGTTTACTGGAAAAGTACACAGTAAAAGTACTTCACAGTACTTGTGGGGGTAGTTTCAGTAGTACTGAGTTCAACAGGATCAATCTCACGAAGAACTAATGGCAACAAAAAAGAATTCCCTCATCTAACTTAGCAGTAATGGCTTGATTTTGTTCTCAGCAGGGGACTTTCTCAAAAAATACACAGTAAAAGTACTTCAATGTATTGTTAGTAGTAGGTTAACTAATACAAAATCAAACAGTATACATTTTATTAAGAACTAATGGTAAAATTGTATTTTTATCATTCATCAAAGATAGCAGAAAAACATGCATTATGTAGCCTACTATGGAGGGGACTTTGACAGAGGATTACTGGTGGTTGGTCCTGCTATTGTGTTCCGTTTTGGTGTAAAATGTAGCCTACATTTAAATAAAAATATAACTATAGTCACTACCCGATCTGGCCCCCTGCCCGATCTGCACTGCGCATGTGCGAGATGGTCCGCCATATTGCCATATTGGACAACTCCATACGGCAACTCAAATAGGACATTTGACGTCTAGACGGCTGCCCGATTTGCATCGTGCATGCGCGAGTCATAAACGTCTCAAATATCTATACAAAAATATTTCGTTATTTTATTTTATTTGAAATAAAATGAAGGACATTCACAGTTAATGTAATTAGATATAAATGATGAATGCCATACATATTGCATACATTCACAGTCAATATTTCTTCAGTATGTATGATAGCTGTCTAACAGAAGTTAAATCCATTTCTCACTTATTCTGACAATGTACTTTACCCAATAAAATGACCCAATAAAAGGAGTTGTTAAATAATAGTGAAGTTACGTTGTAATAACAATAACTCATCTCTCTCGTTCATATTAATATTGTCGTTTTTGTTTAGTGTTCTTTTTCTGCTTTGCCAAACTCCACTGTGTCAATTGTCCTATTAGAGTTGCCGTATGTAGTTGTCAAATATGGCGGACCATCTCGCACATGCGCAGTGCAGATCGGGCAGGGGAGCAGTGTCACTTATTATACATGGTACAGACATGGTAGTGACAGGCGGATCGGGTGTTTAAACCAGGAACAGGGAGTGTTTAAAGTCTCTATAAATGTGAATGCGACAATTCTGAATGTAAATCGAAGACACCAACGACTTCAATCTACTATTTGGGTAACTATTATTACCGTTTGTATGATTTATCTCACACTTTCTGTTTATTTACTTCAGTTTGAGGTGTCTTTGTAAAACAATTGTGTAGGCTAACATTAACGTGGAATATGTACATCAAGAGTTACTGTGTTATTTTATGTTTGCGTTTTACTCGTATAGGTTTAGGCTGCTTAACATTATATTCAGATAGAACCGTGCCAAATGTGTTAATAGGTTTGGGAGGAGCACTGTGGGGTTAGATTTGTCTTAATAATGTTTGTGTTAACATAAAAATAATGTAAATCTGTGATTTGTAAATGTAAAACACCTTCCACAAATGCATTCAAAAGACTTGCAAACTCACAAAAAATGTGCAAATGTCAAACGGATCTGCAAATACGCAAAAATATTTTCGCAAATAAAATAAAGATCTGTGATTAAAGAGAAAAGGGTGTAGTCTGGGTCTTTCTTTAAAGGAAAGGCGAAGGTTTTCCTGCTGGTTGCTGGTGTATATATAATGCGTATGGACCAATACATACCGAGTACTACATACGATTCGACTTATGTGTGTTTTATTTATTGAAACATCTGTCTGTCTGGATACTTTCCAATATCTGTGAAATTGTTGTTCAATACATTCAATACAACATATGAGGGATCAACTTTTGTTTTTATGAAACAATAACTTCAAAGTTACATTTAAACACACATTTTAGAATATTAACATTGAAATTATGCAAAAAATATTTTCATAAAAATAATTGGGGAAATTTCAATTGTCCTCATTTCATAAAAAGTGCTGTTTCTTATTTATTTAGAAATCTTTTTTTGTTTAAAGGTGGGGTAGGTAAGTTTGAGAAACCGGCTCGAGATACACTTTGTGTTATATTCCATGGAATGCTCTTAACATCCCGATAGCAATGAATATCTTAAGTGCTTTGACAAAAAATCCATAAAAAAATTTCATCTGTGGAAGCCGTAATACTGTAAAAAGTACGACCAATCATTTTAGCCGGCCGGCTAAAATAACTGGATGGCCTACCTGCCTGTCAGCCTTCCATCGGGGCACAAACTTATCTCGTGCCCTCATTGGTCATGTGCGCGTTCGTATGTGTTGGAGGAGGGACTCTGTAAGGAAGTAGCAGATTTTCTCCGGTTGTGTATTTTCAAATTCTAGCGCACTCGATCTGGTTTCTCAAATGTACCTACCCCACCTTTAATCTTCATCTCACAACTCAGATTTGATGTATTTATTTTCAAAATAATTGTTTCTTCCACATCTGAATTTACCTACGTTTCTGTGCACAGATTTGTGTCTGTTTGTGGCACGATGGCAGTTTCTCCAGTAAGTACCACTACTTGATGGAAAACAATTCTGTCATATTGTTATAATAAGTAGAGTTTTTTTATTTATTTTAATTTTATTACTGTTAACAATGCATTTTTTTGTTTTCCTTGTAACAGAAAGCTAGGGTGGAGTACAGTCCGGAGAGCAAGTAAGAACTTTTATTTTCTGTTAAGAGGGGGGGGGGGGTTAAAACAACAATGTCAGACAACACCTTACTTTGGTACGCAGTCTTTCCTGCTATCTTGTTTCAGTCAATCTTGTAACTATGTTGAATATTAACTACGTCACATGTAAAGCAACTTCAACATGCTTCCAACTTCACAATTAAAAGCAAAATGTGTCTATAAAAGAAAATGCCAGAACCTATTTATAACCTTAATTTAAAATGACTTCCACAACTTTCATTAAGAGACCCTCAAGTGTCTTTGAGAGTTGGAGTGAAGAATGTGGTTCAAAGAAGATTTGCAATTTTGCTATGCACATATATAAGACCTGAACCACAAAACTTTAACTGCGTCATGAACACCTTCAAGAGGAGAGACAAGATGCACTGGATTGAACACTGACGAGAGACAAGAAGAAGCAGGATAAAGATGGGAACTGTGGATAACAGGAAGAGCAACAGGATCAACATTGGCTGAGTCATTTGGAGGATAAATAGCTGTGTTATAAATACAAAAATTGAAAATGTAACTTCATTACTGGATTTCTTTTTACATATTTTTGAATTAAGTAAGAACAACTTGCTTGTTTACTCTTCATAATGATGTCATTAATTGTACATTGTCAGTGGCATGGTCAATCTGATTTATTTTTTAGGAATCACAGCATCTCGTAATTTCTGCTTGTGTGGTTTTGGTAGCAGCCACATTCAGTCATTTTATAATTTTGATAACAGAGAAATCAAGTGGCCAAAATGAGTTTCCCCTTTTATAGATCATGTAGTATATCTGCGGTTCCTTCGTATCGAATCGAAACAAGAATTTGAGTTTTGAGTAAAGTATGTCGATCATAGAAAGTCAATTTCGCGTTTTAAACACACGTCAGCACTCGCCCCTTCAAACACAGTCACCATTACCCTTGACACCAGGAGCAATTTGGGTTCAGTATCTTGCCTGAGGAAAACATTCAACATGTTGACCAGAGGGGGCGGGGATTAAACCACCAACCCTTCGATTGATAAAAGACCACTGAGCCACAGACGCCCCGACATCTTCTGAACAGGGAGGGAAAAAGGCGGAGCAAACATTGTCTGTGTGTCTCCGGGAGAATGAATCCGAGATGTGTGGAGGGATATATGAGCCATGACTTTAACCAACTCAAAGTCCTGGTGAAAAAAAGAGACGGACAAGGTCTCAAGATGGCCGATGGTTTGTGTACATCGGTACTGAAAAACAGAATTCAGGACACACAGGCATTGAGCCTCATGGCTGTTGAACATGTACTGAAGCTGTAGCTGAATCAAGAGTCTCCAAGGATCACAATCATGGAAAGACATTTTGGGAGAAATGGACTGGAGCTCACTGATTAACTTGCAGCCACTAATTGGGAAACATTTGTTGTCTTCTCTTCCATTCAGGTCATTAGATCTGCTGTTTGGGAAACAAGGTGAGATAAGATAGAACTAAAGAGAAATGGTTGTGTAGTTGATTAGACTACACTCTTTTTGCCTCACATTTCATAAAAACGGTGATGTAACTTTTGTTCGGCATGTGTTGCAGGTCCAGATTACCTGAAAGGGGTTTTATATTGGGTGTCCAAAGAGAGACACAAGATATTTGAATTAAAAAAACCAGCTGGCGCCACATTGAAGATAGGACCCCTGGAAGACACCATTTACAGTGAGAAGTCTAAGGTAGTGAATGGGTGGGGAGAATTCTATCTTCCTGAGATAGTAAGCATGCAGGTTGTAGGTGTAGTGGAGGGGACCTCCTGCCCATGGGACCAGCTCGTTCTAATGATCTGTGAGGACGAAAATCTGTATGCCTACGATGGAGAGGAGCTACATTTGGTGGCTTCAAGCATGGAGCAGCTACTTGAAGAGGGAATAAGCTATCCAGGATCCAAGACATACTACGAAGGGGAGGCCTTCAAAGACAAGGTGAGAAGTCATAGTAAAATAGCTGGGAACAAACAGCTATGTGAACCTGATAGTCGATAACCTGTGGGCACTGACAACAGTTTTTTTACATTTTCTTTTGTGTGTAGACCGAGGAGGACTGGGAAGAAGTGTGGAACAGACCTACGGGGAAGAGGCTGGATCAAGAACATCTTAAACTGGTGACAGAAAACAAGGACACATTTATGGAATGTCTCAAAGCCACAGCTGCAATAAAGGGTGAGTATATTTTTCTCTGCTTCAGGACAAAGATGAAGGTCATGCATTTAGGGTCACTATCATGTTTCTTCTGTATTGAGTGATCTCATGTGCTCATTTGTTTCTCTCTCTCTCTCCCTTCCTCTTTTTTTCTCACAGCCCGTCCCTCCCAGAAGCCCGTGGCAATTCCCTAGGTCCTTGTCAGTCGGTGACGTCACTTGTGCCCAAAAATACTTGTGTGTGTTATTAGGAAAGGGATAACATCTCTTTCTGAAAATGTCAATGTTTTAATGACTGCAATGATAATGTATATATTCTACTTTAAATCATGTCCATGACAGGGTGGACATATGTTGGATGTGCACCTACATTGTCTGCTTGTAGTTGTTTGGGAAATATTTTCCTGCGCCTATAACTTTGACCCAGTTTATCAGTACTGCCCTCGCTGAGCACAGGCCTGCAACCTTGGGCTGCTGCTCTCAGTGTTTTGTCTCCCTATTCCCGCCTGTTGGCGTCAGCTGATAGAGGTGTTATAGTGCTCCTCCTGCTTTATCTTGTTATGCACAATGTTGATTATTCTCTCAGAACCAGCTAAATACATGGGTTTGGGGTAGAGATCTTCAGAATTGGTTTGGCAACCGCTGTCACCTCGTGGCACACGACATGTCTTGTGAATTCTCCGGCCGAAGCTCCAAATAAACCATCAGTGTTTGCCATCAAAGTTCCTGCTCTCCCTGTGTCTCTCTGAGTCCTGTCTCCATTGCTTCAGAAGTTTCCATCACAGTGTGTTAATTAATAAAAAGTACAGGACCTTGGGAAACATGCATTTCTAACAGCCTGAGATCTGCATAATACAATTGATGTGAAAGGGAAAATCTTGATTCTAAAAGGTACCATGGGGCCAGATTATAATTTTCATGAACCCCCCTTTTCATGCTAAACGAAAGGGGGGTTCGTTTAGCATGACACGTTTTATGGAGGCAGTGAAAATTATTAATTTGGGGGACACTCTGTCCTCTGAAGACATTGGTGAAAACAGTAATCTGTTTATATCTCAAATTAATGACACAATGTCTTCCTTCTCAAGGAGAGGGTGCCTTAGGGACAGGAAGGAACATCATCTTCCCTGGCTGAATCTACAGTGCAGGAATTTAATGAAATCTAGAGACCAACTATTAAAGCAGAGCTTGAAATCCGGACGATCCACTGACAGACATACATTTACTCATGCTCGTAATAAAGTAACTCAAACATTAAGACAGGCCAAAGCAAACCTTTTCATCAATATAATTGAAGGTGCGAAAGGTAACAGTAAAAACGTTTGGCAAATCTTAAATAAACTATTAGGTAAACATAAGAAACAGGAAAATAATAGAATTAAACATCAATGATGCCCTGATAAAAGACCCTGCAGTGTTGGCCAACTCTCTCAATGAGTATTTCATAAATAGTGCTTTGGACATTACAAAGCTCTTCCTGCCATCTGAGGTCTCACCTAGCCCGACTGTGGATACACACCCCGTTTTTTGACCTGGAGGAAATCACAGAGGTGGAAGTAAAGAATATAATCTCAGGGTTAAGAGGTTCTAAGGCTACGGATGCAGATGATTTCGACACCAACTTCATAAAGACACATATCGACGGTCTAATAAAACCAATTTCTATGCTAGTGAATCAATCTATCAGCACGAGGGAAGTTCCATCATCCTGGAAAGTGGCCACGGTGACACCGATTTTTAAATCTGGGGATAAGGCAATGATGTCCAATTACAGACCAATCAGCATCCTCCCCTGTGTCTCTAAGGTAGCTGAGAAATGGGTGTCAAAACTAATCACCAAACATTTAGACAAAGGTTTCGCTCCACTCCACCCAATGCAGTTTGGTTTCTGTGCTCACCACTCCACTGAGACAGCTAACTGTGTCTTTGTGGAAAAGGTTCAATGTTGGATACGAGCCCATATGTAGGTGCTGTCTTCCTTGATCTCAGGAAGGCATTTGACACTGTTGACCACCAAGTGCTCCTTACAAAGCTGACTTATTTCAATTTTTCGGCAGATTCAATACAGTGGGTTAAGTCTTACTTATCAAACAGAAAACAGTGTGTTTTGGTCAACAGTGCCAAATCCCCCTACCTTGTGAACCCTGTTGGGGTTCCACAAGGTTCCATTCTTGGACCATTACTGTTTTCTCTGTACATTAATGACTTGCCTAATGTATGTCCTGAGTTGAATGTGCAAATGTATGTCGCTGATGCGGTCATCTTTGTACATGGGAAAAAGACTGAAATAATCACATCCTGTCTCTCAAATAATTTGGACAAGGTTCAACACTGGCTGAACAACATTTGCTTACAGTTAAATGTAAAAAAAAACAGTATGCATGATGTTCAGTAAACGACCAGTCAAAATCGAAGGATCCAATGTGTTTTTAAACGGAGCAGAATTAGAACTAGTCTCCCAGTTCAAGTATCTTGGAGTCATATTGGACTCGAACTTGACTTTTAAGAAACATATTAAGAAAGTATCCAATACCGTTAAATTCAACTTGCAAAATGTGTCAGTGCTGCAAAGTCATACCTCCACTATATGATTCTATCCCACATTGAATACTGTTTTACAAACTAGTCGTTTGCTTGTGCCACAAACCTGAAACCAATAGAACAGCTGTACAAGAGAGCTATCAAGGTTTTTGACAGAAAGCCTTATTCATACCACCACTGTACCATCCTTGAAAAACACAATTTCTTGAGTTTTGACAATTTTAAGTCTTTTAAAAGTATGTGTTTTTTTTATAAATGTTTCCGTGGACTGGCCCCCCCTCCCTCTCTTAGGGGAATTCATCCACAGAAAACACACTGGACGCTGCACTAGGTCAGAAACCAGAGGAGACTGTGAAGTCCACCATAGACGGACCACTTTTGGACCAAATGTCCTCTCCATTAAAGGCAGCTCTTTCTGGAATAGTCTCCCAACTGAGATACGGGATTGTCCCACTCTCAATAGCTTCAAAGGTCAACTCAAAGAATGGTTGAGAAACAAACAGACGTGTGATCACCGCTAAATGCACTTTAAAACAGGGGTATCTCCTCTCGCACTTTATGTATCTCTTGTATCTTCTCTTGCACTTTACATGTCGTAGCTGCTAGATTGTACTGCCATGTTGTAAATACTTGTATATGCTGCTCTTGCTCTTTTGCACTTATTGCATATCATGTATTTTGTTTTTACTATGTTTATAATTGTCATGTTCTTAAATGTTTTATGTGAGGGACTGCGGATGGAAATGAGCTCAAAGCTAAATCTGGCACTGTTACGCTTGACACATTTGAATGTTTAAAGTGTTCATTATTGTGCATTGTCCCTGCCAAATAAACGATTAAATAAATAAACACTTGAAATAACTAAAGGACAAGTTAAAAAAGAAAGTAGAAAGAAAGTGAGGTCATAGAAAACTATTTCTGCTCAAAAGTTAGCAATGATTGAGAGTCAGAAACATTTCAGATGTGTGTATCTCACACTGCACTGTAACTTTAATTAATGTACCTTTGTTATTCATGTTTTATTATCTTTGCTTTTAAATGAGTGTTTTTAAATGCCATTTTATAATATGTTTCTTAATGCTCTTAATGTCTTTCATTTTTGTAAAGCACTTGCCTTGTGTTGCAAGGTGCTATATAAATAAACTTGCCTTGCCCCGCCTTTACATAATGCAACCGTTTAGTAGGTAGTTCAAAACACGAGGCAGGGCTTCATTCATTTATTTTCGTTCATTTACTCCTGACCAACAATGGTGAGTAGCTGCTTTTCACTGCTTTCCTTTGCTAATATTTGAAATATTTCAGTTTAAATTCTACATTGCTAATTTACTTTCTGTTGTCAGTTAAATTTGTAAGTTTTATAATCATGGTTTAATGTGTTGTGTGTTATTTCTCCCTAGGATGAGGCTGAGGCTGAGGCTAGGGCTGAGACTAAGGCTGAGGCTGAAAAGCGGAGGTGATTACCTGAACCATACACCAATACTGACATCTCATTTAAAATGTGTGATAACAATTTAATACTGTATATTATTATAGAGAAGAACGTTTTTTGGAGGTGACAGAGCATTTCAGAAGAAATGCTTTGCTGATTATCCAAAAAATGATGAAGCTGAACCACTCCAGGGATAATCAAACTATACAGTTAGTAGATGAGGTATGTGTGATGTGGCTTTTATGAACTTTTGAAATTATGTGTTTTTTGGGCATAATATCTTTCATAGAGCTTTCGAGTTACACACATTGAAAATGGCATCTCTTTTTCGACAGATTCTTCACAGCATCTTCTTTTTGGGAAAGATCAACACACCACCAATTTCACCGGACAGGATTGTGAATGAAGGGTTGTACGATAAGTTGAAGGACAGCTACCCTCAGCCTTTTGAACTTTATTCCTCTCAACTACCCAGGCGGAGTCCATTCTCATGTCTGCTCGACATGGTAAGATTACAGTTTGTCAATTCTTCTATTTATATAGTTGCTTTTCCCCCTTAAATCATCCTGAAATATAAGAGTGTTATGCACATATTCAAACACGAAGTATGACATAGTAAATTACAGCAGCTTGATAACATTTCTAAATTATTTTCAGATTGTTTTCCTGGAAGGACGAGAGAACGAAAATGAAATAAAACAGAAGCTTCAAGAGATCATCAGAGATCTCAAACTTCATAAGGGGGCTCCTCTGGTCTCCTCCACCATCTGCGTCTCTCAGAAGAACCCAAACTCAGCCAGGTACTACGGGGTCTCCATGTCCACTTCTAGCAAGGTTCCTAGGCAAATCATGATTGCTGCGTCTTGTCTTCCTGGTAGCTGGGACAGTCATGTTGCTGGTGCAGTGATGAGTTTCAATCAAGATAAGAACAAGAAGTCATATTTTGATGGAACCATCAAACTGCCTGAGCATGTAACGTGCAAGGCGTATAGCCTCCACGGGGAAGGAGCACCAATGCAACCTTGCAAATCATGTGTGGAGTTGTTTGGTTTGGTAGGAAACAAAACGACGGGGTATGCCCATGGCAACTGTGCTGAGGTTGAAAGTGTGAGCAACTTGTTTAAAACTGATGCAGAAGTTAGGGAGCAAGCACGACCAACATCTGAGAAGTTCACAGATGACAACAGGAGCAAGGCGGAGAAAAGTGTCAGGGATTATCTCATGAATGAGCGGGAAATAAGACATTTCTCACGTGATTTTGAATTCTACACCCCCTCAGAGTAAATGAAGGGGGGAAATATTGGACATTAAATATTGATAAGTCTATTTAGAATGGTCTTTTAATATTTAGTGACATGACAGATATCTTGTGATATTATTCACAAATACTTAACCTTCAAACAAATCATCTCATTTTAATCCTCTTATGAAATTCCTGTTCTTCAATCAAATACATCATGCTTTATCTTTGCTACTTGTTATGTGTAACAGTAAATATATAAATGCAAATATTTGTCAACTGTCTGAATGAAGCATGCAGACAATGATGTATTGATCATGTTGTTAACAATACATTCTAATAACGTAAACTAAGTTTCATACATTGTTTGGTTTTTTTCTCCTGCCACTTCAAGTGATTCTTTGCTAGAGAATAATAAGTACTCCAATATCATCTCATCTATCCTTATTGTTATCTATGGTCATTGGGTCTTGAAGTCATTGACAAAATATTTGAAGATATCTCAAGA